CCCACAAAAAGACCCCAACAAACAAAAAACAATAAAATAAAACACACAAAAACAAAGAAAAAGCAGTAAGGAATATAGCAGCAGATGTTGTTTTGCCAAAGATGACAGCTCATAACAATATTTCTCACGGAAGATCTTGAGATAGCAAAGCTTTTTCACAAAATGGGTCCCTCATCTCCTGACTGATGAGCAAAGGAAGATGGAGTGGTGTGCGCAAGTGGCTTTGTCCACCAGGTACGGAATATTATATGGATCGATTTTATTTTAAAAATCATTACAGGTGATGAAGCATGGGTGTATTCATAGAATCCAAAAGTGTATTCATAGGACCCAGAACTGAAAAAACAATCAGCAGAACGGAGAAACCCAGGATCAACATAACCCAGGAAAGCTCGACGAAAGCATGGTTTAAAAGGGATTTTTTTCGATTACAATGGTGTAGTTTTGAACTGGCTGGTTCCCATTGGGACAGCAGTCGGTGCTGACTTTTGTGCTGACTGTTCCAGACAGTTCTGTAAACAAAGCTGAGACCAGCAGTCAGAAGAAAGTGTTGTGGTCAGCTTGAGCAAGGTGTTGTCTTCCATTAAGACAACGCGCCAGTGCACTCGGCTCGAAAGGTCACCGATCTCCTGGAATCCTGCCATTGGGAAATCCTTAAACATTCCCGCTATTCCCAAGGCTTACAGCACCATGCGACTTTCATTTCTTCCCAAAATGAAAGAAAAACTAAAGGGCAGCATTTTTGAAGACCGGGAAAAAAATGTGCTTGAAACAAATTGCTGCTTTAAGAACAGTAGCTGAAGCATACATGGTCACTGCGTTTGACCCTTGGGTACACCGGGTGAAAAAGTGAGATTAAATGTTGTGATATTGAATGAAAAACCCCCCAACTTGTGTCAGAAGATATGTATAGAAAATTCGATGAATGTAAAATAAAATGTGTTGGTTTTACAGAGCAAGGAAATGTTCCTCTGGGACAGACCTCATACCAACTTAACAAATGTGATGCATCATGGTGAAATCAGGCGCTCGTCAGAATAATGAAATCAAACAAATCTACATTTGTATGGATGTTGGACATTTTCTTTCAAATTTTCTTTCTTTTTTTTTTTCTCTTTAATGTCCATTTAAAAACATTCATGTGTGGACTTTACTGGGAAAACGTTGATCAAAGGACTCTAAAGCTTTGGTATTCACCAAATTTTGTTGGCCATTTTCTCGCTAATTTTACTTCTGCAGCCAAGCTACCCCATCTCTTTCAATTACAAATTTCTCAACTCCTGTTCTAGAAAAACGTGTAATTGTTTCAACGAAAGCAAGACAAATGAACAAGCTTTATGATGATACCAATAACTCCTCATGCCCACAAATTGACGAGCGCCTGATTCCACCTTTTCGCGACACAATGGAGTGCCCCTGAGCTTAAAAAAACCTATCCCTGTGTATGTGATTTTGAAAGTGAGTATCGCCTCTGTGCATATTTTTTCTGCTTCTTGGAGAGTGCGAAACGTCTTCAGCGTACATTCTGCTGTTGTAGTTTATCAGGAAAAAACTGGATTAAGCCGCTCATTTAATCAAAATGTCCCTCTTTTTAACTGTCTTTTCGTTTATGTACTTTCCCCTTTGCGTGCGCAGAAACCATTGCTATCAAAAATATAATTATGGATATACTTTTGCCCATGTTTTATTTCACTCTGCGTGGGCGAACATCATTGCCTTGAAAGTTATGAATAAAGTGCTTACATGAATTTGTAATTAGCTACAGGCACTTTACGCTCTAAAATTAAGTAAGTATTTTAAAAAATAAGACAAAAAGCGTAAACCAGACCAAATTCCAACTAAACATTGGCGACAAAAAGGGCGGAATATGATAAGCCACTGTCTTATATTGCCTGAATAGTTGCATACTCAGCTTTATTGATTTACATCTCATAGAATGCTAAAACAGTAATACTATATGAAAAAGTACAAATAATTTTAGTCATTCTTTAATGGAAACACCGTTACTTAGTTGGTATGATACTGCGTGATGTTGCAGATGTTCCTGTTTTAAATTCCCTATACAGTGTTAGTGAAAGTAGATTGTGTTACTAACAAAAAGATTTAACTACTCGTAAGAATATTTATATCCTCTTTTTTCCCTCTTTCTTAGCATTTAGATGTCATTGAATACTTACGCTTACTCACCGATTGTGCGATACAACATCACTAAGATGAC